CTCTGAATTCGACGCGATCGGCCACCAGCTCGGAATTTCGAGTCCGGCCACTTTGTTTTGCAATTGGTTAATTCTATGGCGAGCATTGTTTCGATAGCGAAATCGCGTTACGCTTTCACATTTCTGGGTCGATTGGTTCTAACATACACGGCGCGGCGTTCGTTTGCTCGAAAACCAGCTGCAGCTACTGTTCGATCCGTTACGTTTCGATTATCGTTTTAGACAGTGCAATTGAAACTGTCAGGATAGAATGCGGCAGATTGAAATCAATGAGTCCTTAATGCTCCGTTATTCCACGTTATTTCAAACCGCTTCTTTGGCCAGAGGCATACGTTCCCAACGATTGTTAACAGACGATTGCTTGCACGTGATTTCCGATCGGACGAGTTGTGGCCCGAGTCTTTCGTCGAATCGGTAAGAAAAATACCGATAATTACGGTATGACTAAGAAGAGGATGATTTTGGGTGAAAAAATTGAATAAAATTCGTTCGCACATACGTAACTGAGAGTATTTTCTGTATAATTTTAACCCTCGAATATAATAGAACTGTTGAGTTGTAACTTGACTAATTATTATAATTTAATATCGTTATAATCTAACTATAATATAGAGATAGATTTAGTAATCTAAAATAGATTACTAAAATTTGCGGTATTTAATTGTATTTTGCATTTCACATCCTCTGTAACTGGGATTAGTGACTGTGGAAATTATTATTATTATTAGTGGAAATTGAATTAAAAATTCCAAAAGATATGTAACTTAAAATTCTATTAAAAAAAAAAAAAAGAAAACAATAGGCTCGTCCTACGAATAAATCAATTTTGACCCACATATGTAATTAGGAACAAAATGGAAAAGACATTCAATCTATTTCTCTATTCTACTTCTATTTCTACTTCTAATAGTGTTTCAGAAATAACGTTGACGTCATATTTATCAGTCTTTATACAGTACTGTCTATTTGTATCTGGTCACACGTAAAGAAATCGTTCGAAATGCTACCCATATAGTCTTATTACATACAAGAAATTAAATTATTTTACATATGTACTTTCTAAGTACTCTTAGTCTTTGTTGACGAAAGTTATAATTGCTTTCCTCGAAAATAAATTATTCCACGTTCTTTACTTATAGAATCACTGTCTTTCCGGTTTCTGATTTATTTTTATAATTATTGCGACAGCTTTTATGTACGGTTCTCAGTGCAATTATTTCAATAAAAAAAAAAAAAAAAAAAAAAAAAAAAAATAGGACATCGTTCAATTTCTCGGTACGCCCCGAAGCTTTTATTCAAGGCTACAAGAAAATTAATCATCGATTCACATGCTATAAAGGCTCTCCTCGAACTCGAAAATAGAGAGACCGACTGATCTCCGCGTTTCCTCCGGAAGTCGGAAGTCTAATTTTGCCAATTTCTCGAGGCTATCTAGCCTCATAATAAACATTGCTGACGTTCCCTAAATACTTCGTGATCTACACTCTGTGTTATTATTACATACATTCTAGAAATTTATGCTGAAACGAACTATTTAAATGAATCAATTCACAGTGATAAAACTATTTAAAAATAGAATTATAGAATGGATATAAATGTAAATTAATTAACAATATAAGCTAAAAGATTCAACGGAAGAAAAATCGAGTACAAACATTCATTTTCAGCAACGTGGAAAAAATAAAAATAATTTTAACTCAAATCTCACTTGTCTAAGAATTAATTAACATTTAGCTCAAGACAGACAGGATGACATGTTCAAGTGTTATAACTTCAGAAAAGATATAATCTTTACAATTCGTACCTCATCGTTGATCATTTGAAAAATTCAACGATGAATAATACAACAACCGACTATAAATTTTATTAGTTTTAATAAAAAAAAAAAATATAGAAAAACTAAATATTCTATAATTTTATTTTGGAAACTCACGTTGTCACATGAGAATTAACAAGCAATTTTATAAAAACACTTCTTCGAAGACTCTCGAAAGAATAAACATTAAAGAGAAACAATTATTTTCATGGATAAACCTCTCATTTCGGAACGGAACAAATGAGTTAATGGCTTCATAGAAGAGATGATAATGGCTCGGTACGATTTCTCAATCGATCGTTTTCACGATTTTGTGACCGTGACCTAGATGAAAATGAATCCAAGGAGCTCCATCAACGAAATGACCAATTCGGGACACTCCCTCGCTTTTAAGACACGCCTTGAATTAGCAGAGAACGTAATAAATGATCGAACGATTCCTAGAATTTCTCCAAAGACGGAGAATCGGCTTTTCGTGTCGTAAACTGGAGAATGTCGCTTGAATGTTTCGGTTTATTACACAGGGGAAAAAAAAACAAATGAAAAGTTAATGGCCTGGCAATCGTGATCGTAAGTACGGCAATTTTCACTCGCAAAATATACGGAAAATCGTCGTTAATGGCGCCAGATGTTCCGACGTTGGCAGATGTCTAAGCTAATGTTTGCTGGCGCCGTTGGATTCGCGTAAAATAAGCTACGTACATCTGGCGTGAATGGCATGCATCTTGAAAAACAGCAAATACAGCGAATCGAAATCGATTATCTTGAACAATCAAGGTTACGCCACGGGAAAACTCCATTTATCTGAACTTTATTTATTGGGATAAAAATATGATTGTTCAGATATTTTTGAGATTCTATAAATCTTCAAAATATATGCAAGATATACAGGTTGTACAGTGATGGATTAAAAAAAAAATTCGCGTCGTAAAAAAAGAAACTATTTTGAAGTGTCTCTTACACAATAAATTTTACAAAGAATTAATATAATCTGCACGAAATTTAGTTTACGAAAGTTAGAGCTTATGAACTAATATTGTTATAAACCATCATTTGTTTTATCGTGGCTTCAAAAATTGAAATTTGAATGTCAAAGAGTCAACAAAAATGCTGTAGAGCTTATAAAATTCTACTTGGACATCTTCCAAAGTTTCTTGAGTAAAGACATTGCCTGTAGCAATTCAAAATTTGAAATTTTTTAATATCTGAATTATCAACGACGGTGGAATAAAGCTTGTATCAAAGAAATAAAAACGCACAAAATAGGAAATATTTTATAACAAAATAAAGGACACAAGCCTTTTGTATATTTTCCAAAAATTCATTCAAGTATCTAAAAATTCATCGCTTTATAAAATTTTGAATAGATCATTGTCATTAGCTGGACAGTTCTGATTTATAAATGATGTATATGTGTACAATGGACGATGAAGTATTGGTAAAGTGATTTTAAGAACATATATAGAAACAGTAATGCATACGCTAAATCTCTATTATTCTTGTAAAGTTTTTAACCCTTTACAACGAAGACTATATATCTCCGCGAATGTCGAACAATAATTTACTAACATACAGATGTATATGTATACAGACTATACATTTGTAGTATGTATTCTATGTCTTCAGTCTCATAATTTGTTCGTATTGTTAACAAAAACTTTAGAAAGATCTCAGCTAAAAATGTCAAGTAGGAAATTATTGTATTTTTGAAAATATTATTTTATCTTGATATTAAGAAGATTATATTATCTCATTTGAAAGAGAACACGAAAGATCTTGGACACAATTACGAGGATAGAACATGTCCAACAAAGGTAGAGAAACAAAGAGCAGCCACTCTAAGAAAGTATGAATATTCATTCAAGATTGTACATTTGATTCGCCCCCTCCACCAATTCTACAAGAATAATAGGAAGGAGATTACATTCTATGTTAACGGTGTATTTTTCCATCATTAAAGAAAATTGAAGTTAAACCATCGAAACTTGTTCGTGCCGAGTTGCAAAGCTTCAAATTCTTAACCTGATTCTATCATTCCAGCTAAATTGTATTATGATGAAACGATTACGTTTCTACGGAGATTTCTTCTCAAACTTATCTTGTTTAATCTTGTCTAATGATTCATCATATGATTTATTTCGATGACGCGAACATGCAGAGATTATAGTGCTGTGTAATCAGGTTGAATGTAAAATGTAATGATAATGTTCGTATTTCTCAAACGGTTTGGTAATCGAATATTTTTATAGCTGACTCTGCTATTTCTAGGCACACAAGCTTGTAGAGACGAAAAGGTTACGAGGCCGTTTCCTTCGGTGATATTGACAGCAGTTGTCTATATAAAGGTGGGTAATTTTTTTCTTTGATAATGAATAGAGAAGAACTCCATTGACTGACAGAAAATCAATGTCTACCTTTCAATTATTACGATTGTATAATAAATGATGTGATATGAGATCGCTTCGAGAAAAGTAGAAATATCAATATGTACGTATAATATTGACAATGCTGTATTGTAATAAAGTGATATTATGCATCGAGTAGAATAATTAATGGACTGAATAGTATATTATTTAAAGAAATATTTTAATAAAATTATGCAGCCTACCTACGCAAGTAATACCGTTATGAAAATATTGACTTGGTTTATCAATGAATGCCCATCGTATGAAACATTTATGTAGCGAAAGTTGGTATTAAAGAAACCTGCGTTTGGTAAGAAAGTGCGTTTCTTGAAATGTGTATCTTATCATAATTTTTGAAAAAAAGTAGATAAAAAGTTAAATGATGCGAATCATTCTTTAAACATTGAAGATTTTTATCAGATTCAATTAGGTTTTAAGAAAAATGTAGGAATAGTATGATTCCATTTCCTTCTTTATCGACTTACGATATATATATATGCAAATTATGAAATATTGATAAGTAAGGAACTTTGCGAGTCAAATGACACATTTGCATACAAAATAACAGCTAAATAATTAAAAATAATTATTTCATATAAAATTGTATTCGTGATATTGCATCAGTAAATCAGTCTTTTGAAAAACATGGAAAGATGGAAACACTTATTTGAATAACTGAATAATATAGTTTACATTAACCGCGATAATATAAATCAATAAATTTTGCAATCATTTTCATCCAGTAAAATAAACCGATAGATATTTTTAAAATATCGTACCTTTCTTTCTGTTGCATTTGTTTCAGCATGATATCCGCTAGTGGATCGGCTGGTGGTCTTTCGCCGAGGAGTCTCTGTCGATCTAAATCACCTTGCATTTGTGCAAACGCGTGTTCGCCAATATTTACGGATGTCTCTAATTGCGCAGACAGTTCTACACTTTCATCACCTGTAACAAACAAATGTAAAACATTGAATGAATAACTGGATCAATATATATATAATACCGACTTATATTATTACCATGTAAAGCATGTTGAGGATTGTCGATGATTCTAATTTGTCGATCAGGAAGTAAAGGTTCCCCATCCATTCCACCTATATCGTTCGGTAACTGCCAACAAGCATTATCCTGCTCTGCTAAATTTCTCGGGAAATAAAGTGGAAGAAGAACTTCGTATATTCCAAGATCACATGGCTCCAACACAAACACAATACATGTAACAGAATCACCATATTGCTCCAAAAATCTTCTTATTGTTCCTATTGCAAGAGAGTATTTGTATGAAATTAGATATCGCTAATTCACACTTGTCAAGCTTAGAAATGTATATTGATTTAAATAATCTTACTAAGTGCAATATGCGCTCCTGCATCAGGAGGATAATTTCTTCGCACAGAATTGATTACTGGTAGTGCGATCGTACGTAAACCAAGCTCTCGTGCTTTTTGTAAAACGTTTCTAGTAAAAAAGATAAGTAAAGACATTGTATATCAAAGCAGTATTGTATATCTTTCATCCATGACTAGTTTGTATATTGATAGAATTTACCTATAGCAGCAGTGCAATGTATTTTGAGCTGCTGTTTGGTACTTCACATTGTATACTGGTCCAACAGTATGAATAATAAAGCGTGCAGGTAATGCATGAGCTTGCGTTACCCTTACTTCACCAGTTTTGCACTCTGTAAACGTAATTAATCATATTACATACTATTCAATCGACCTAACTATTTCTTGCTTTACAAACTATATATATACGCGTATACCTTTAATTTCACTAAATATTTCCATTTTAAGTGCTGAACCAGCTCGAGCAAATATTCTTTGGCACATAGGACTGTTATCATCCATTGTTTCATTGGTAGAGTTTACTACTGCATCCACTTGTAGAACAGAGATATCCCCAGTCCTGAAACATAGTATCAATTATAATTCTCCTTAGATGAATTAAACTTCTTTATTATAACTTTATATCAGAACTTTACCACAGAGCAAGTTTGTTGTTAATCGCTGGTTGACAAGGAAATGGACTTATTGTATGATGCGTAGGCTCTCCAATGGAATTGGAATAGTCTGTGAATCGGTGCTGGACGGGGAAGTCGGACCATTTTTTCAATGCGCCCGTCTCCACCATGTCCGGGGCAACACCCAACGGTTCCATGAGCCTCATTCAGCTGAAACAAACGAATTTCCCATTACAATGAAAGCTAATCTACGAATCACCTTTATCAACCATATTCTAACCTCATACTCATGTCACCTGAAGTTAAAAATAACCCGATGTAAATTTCTCACATGCTTCCCGAGACATTTGTGAATCCCTCTATCTCCCACTCTACCATTTTTCCACATCATTCATTCACGAATATCGAATTCGCTTTGTTATACTCTTTCGCTGAAATGTCACGCTGACAACTAGAGCGCATGCGCAGCGTGGCGCTCCAGTTGACGCGAAATTCAAATCGCGTCGCACGCCACGTGTTCTCGGTCGTTTCGACGAGAAGAACACACAAAACTAGATACTAATACGTCATACGTCCGAGAGAATCACGAAATTAGACTACACGACGAAATTCTATGGACGTGTACACGCAAGAATACGAAGCAGTGGGATACCATTGAATTTAGTAGGCTCGTAAAGCGACAAAGGGAGGCAAGGTCGACGGAGTTACCCCCGAGCCGAAGACGAAATAGTTGCTGACGCGCGGACCATCTCCAATATCGTGGGAACCTAAAAATAAACAGTGCTATCGATGAAAATCTGGGGCGCACCCCGGGCTAACGGGAGCAGCGGGCGTCCAAGGACGTAACCCCGATCGGGAGTTTCGAAAAACAACTTAACTCGTGGACGATCCATGTCGTTCTGTGCGCATGCAGTCACGTGCTAAGCGTTAAAGCACGTCTGTGTGAGATCTCTCTTTACGAGTGACGAAGGGAGCGTGCGTCCGTGTTGGACATAGTATGTAGGCTTCTCCCTAATGGCAAGGAGACAGAGCTTGGCGCCGTCTGTCCTGCTGCGGAATCCCATTCTGACAACCCCATAAAGAATAGGGTCATCGACCTCCTTACATCACTAGGTCCTTGCAATACTTTCTACGATAAATCTAGTCAACCATCTGAGGTTCTGAGACGAGAAATTAATCGATTTAATCTACTAATTCTTCAAAAATTTCGATCTTTTTAGAATCTCCGGCAGTTTTGTGTAATACGTATTGTCTATTTAATTCTCATTTACAATTTTTCTCATTTGCTTCTTAGCTTTTATCTAACGTTTATTTAACTCTATGACTCTTTCCCAGTAAGTATTCTTTCCTCGTAATGATATGTCGTGCGTAAGAATGTCCACGCGTAAGAATTGTTGGTCTTCGGAGCGAAGTGTTCATAGAACAAAATGTAACAGCAAATAATGATCGTAATTTTAATGTCTTATCTACTGTTGTAGTCATTGTTCTAGATGCAGAAGCATCATAATTCATTTGACAAGAAAAAAGAAAAAGAAAAACGACGTAGATAATGCAGAAAAACAATGATAAACTTTCGCGCACTAACGTTTTCAGTGAAGAAACAACGTTTTACTCGATAAATACAGATTCTGGTGTACATCAATGTTATTTATCTTCTAGATAATCGATTCATATCGGTGAATCTAGAGACGAGGACAGCCGAGGACATTCATATTCAGAATACGCCATTTACGAAGATCCACTTCCCATCGATCGTATTCCATCGTGTTCCCCTGCACTTCTTCCATCAAAGCCTGGAAAGCTCCTTTCCATCGCGGAAGAAACTCGAGATATTATTTGCATAAACCCATTTGTCAATTCACGTTAGAGAAATTATCGATGAAACCGGGGTAGATAAATAGAGAACCGCGAACGCCCGTCGTTCTGTCCGGTTATGTGTTTGCCCGTTTGTATCAATAGAAACCAATGCCTCGTATGAATGGTGAATTTCTTATCGGCGAAATGGCTCGAGGAGGAAGCAAAAGTAACGTCGCACAATAGAGGAAATTAGCATTTTTATGGCGGCGCCGGTGTACATACATGGTTAAAACCTTGACGAATGTGGAGCAAGATGTTTTATCGATCGTATAAATGAATTCTGATGTTTACCATGCCACGTTCTCGGTACGAGCGCGCGCGTTAAGAACACATCCGGTTTAATCGATTTTTAAAGGGAAACATTGTCTGCCAAGATCGAACTAAAGTTTCGTTTGTAGGGTTATGGCTACGTATTCTAAATGTTCGTCGACGATAACGTGCAAGTCCGATATTTTTCTTTGTGGAAAAGTTCGCTGTTTTGCGGTTCTACGTGGAACTTTTCTTCCATCGGATATTGCGTTTCATTAACGTTGTAACCTTCGAATGTTGTTTCTGTTTCAATCGATAATAAAGATTACTCAAGTTTTGAAGCGAATTTAGAAAATTATGTATATTAATATCATGCGTTGCTTGAACTTATTTTTCTACACTTCCTGAAGTTTAAATTTGCATCATCTGCTCTAAATATTGTATTACGATGTTTATATTATAACGTTGTTACTTTAAATTTCTCACGACGCGTCCAGAAATCCAGAGTCTAGTTATAATTTAATAAAACTATGTGACAGTTTTATTCGCAATTACAATTATTCTTTTCTCGAACTTAAGAACGTTTCATAGAAGATTAAATTCTAGAATTAAATTGTATTGTATGAAAAAATACGTCAATATAGTTACATCATGAGTCATTAAAGTATGAAAATAAATCGAAGTTACAAGACTTTCGAAATTGAGTTATCATAAGTTCGAAGAATTCTTTTGTTGATAATGATATAATTTTCTCGCAGTTTAATTACTTCCATTACTTCTACGAATATGAAAACAGTTCTAGGAACGAAAACTTTGAAACATATTTTCTCTCCCTTTGAATAACAAACGAGTGTTATTTCTATCTCCTCCCGAAGTTTTTAATTAAATTGAGTCCTACTGGACAGAACAAAAGATCACTGACACGAACAAGCAGAATTTTCAACTGTCAGATAAGCTGTACACTGTACGCGTATCTACGGTAGGATAAGCAAATATGTACAAAATCTAAATCTCATCTCTAATCGTTCCAACAAAGATACAGGACAATTGGGAGCAATTTTCAGAATGACAGAAACGCAGAGACGTAGCGGTGACGCTTTAGAAAGATCACTTCAGCCTCGGCTCGCCGCGAAAGGGTTAATGTTTCGATCTATTTCAAGCACAAAGGCAAACGCCGACGAGCTAATCGGCCGTAAAGGGCCCTCCACTTTTACCACCATCAACCTTGAAGATGCATTCGAAATCCAGCTGTAATCCCCGTCCGCAATTCTTCTTTCGATTTTGTTCGCGGCTTTCAGTCCATCAATCATTGCGAACGAAGCTTGTAAGGCAACGGTGAAGGGAAAACGGGAGAGACAACTAGAAATTTTCATTCGCTTTGAACGGGTATATTCATGCAAATATGGCAAAAGTTTTCTCACGCTTCTCCGTCTCTTCTCTTCTCGTCTTTTCTTTTTTCTCTTCTACGATTTCAAGCTCGATATTCGAGCGATCGAACTTTAAAACGTGTCGCTCGACTGTCTGCGAAAGTTTCTCGTTTCTTCGAGGCACAAAACTTCCACATTCTCCCTTTGTCCCTCTGTCTCCCTCGGGAAGATCCTTTATTTCCACGGTTTCGACTATCCTCGAGGAAAGATAAAGCTATCTCTCGCTATGACCTAGATTAAACGATTACCGATATAGAGGCCGTTTTCCCCGTCCGCCTCTCGAAAGCTCGCTTCTAGCATTTCGCGCGATCTTTATTGCACCCTTATATAATTGCACTTACACACGGTGTAAGTCGTCGTTTGTAGCTCGCGTGACTGCGCTTTTCCACTGTTCGACACGATACGCCCGTCGTCGTGAAATCGTGTCGGAAGTCTCGACCCTGTAATATTTGGCTTAAGTCGAGATCTCGTCACGGCTGTTCCTCCAATCGCCCACAACGATTTCCGTGTTTCGTTAATGGCCCTTTTGTTGGCATTTAATTACAGATTAAGAAGTCGAGTTTTTATTTCGTTCACGACCTCTCCGTTTTACGTTCACGTTGATTTCTTTATTTCGCCGATGGTCTCTTTATTAATATTTAATAAATGACACACGAGTTGTCTCTAATTTTTGTGCATCTTCGAACTTATATTTTCGCGAGCGTCGATAAAGAAACACGACTCGAATAGAGGTTCATCTCATCTATTAAAAATTCCAAAGGAACTCCTATTTCTGATCTATTTTTTGCGTCTTTGATAATCAGGCATAGATGCGTAAAAGCGACCGTAGATTCATCTTTATAATTTAGTGGTTCAATAAATAAATTCACCGTGTAATCTTGCAGCGAGATGTAATCGCACATGTGACAATGAGTCTCTACATAAAGGTCAATACACATATATTACACTAATCTATTTTACTAATCTATATACCCGATCTTTCTATCAACGATGCTTTTACAAATCATCGTTGTCAATTAAATATTTTAATTTGCGTCCTGTTGATGCAAGCTCTCGTGTCAGATTGCAAGTAACATGGATATTTCTTTGTCGTGCATGATTCTTGGATTTAAGAATTTTATTAATTCCATTGCACGCGCACAAAACGGAGTAAAACGAATCCGCTGTTTCGAATAATTCCAGAAAAATTAATTAACCTCGAAGCTAGATTCTCCTCTCAATCTTAACTGCATTAGCTCAAACGAGTTATTGGAAATTGCCATTACCCAACGAGGCTCGCAGGACGGTATACTTGTCGAAGAATCGATCGGAAACAATAAACGCAAATTGAGTTGGAAGAACACTCAAACCATACTTTCCACCTCAAATGCCTCTCCACTTTCTCCAGTCTATAATTGCGTCCGTTTTAAACAAACCACTCTACAGAATTTGCTCGAACAAATCCTCTCCTCAAACAGGGTCGCCTTGCTTTTTTTTTAAGTATCAATCAAGGATAATAATGTAGAGTTAAATTTGATACGAATCGAATGAATAAAATTGAATTTCACGTTACCCGTGACGAGCAATTTATTTCCTTTCTTTCAATATTGAATGTATAGCGTAGCGGTATAAATAACAAGTAAATAATAAATGTAATACATTAAGATTCAGTTCGGAAGGATTTAATTTTTAATTGGG